GCATTGGAACAGGCTGCCCAGGGAAGTGGTGGAGTCACCATCCCTGGAGGTGTTCAAGAAACGTGTAGATGTGGTGGTTCGGGACATGGTTTAGTGGGTTAGGTGGTATAGATTGACGGTTGGACTTGGTGATCCTTGAGGTCTTTTTCCAGCCTTAATGATTCTACGATTCTAAGATTCTATCATTTAAATTGGAAATTAATATGATTGATGGGGAAGTGGATGTCACATTTTGGGTTTCGATCTCCTTGCTACTGAAGTTCCTCAGTTTACTTCACTTTTTTGTTGTTGTTCGTGTGGATCAATGCAAAGGATATTTTGAACCTGCTGGTATACTCAAGCAGTGGGTTTGCATCGCCGTCAGCAAAACTTTGCAGTGAAAGAACTTGTGTCTTGTTGAATTGTTTTTTTCTTTGATTTCATTTATTTATTAATTTTATAGTAATTAAAGTTTTTGAGTATACAACCTTAGTCCTAAGGACTTTTCTTTAAAAATGAAAGAAAGCACAATGCCAGCGGCATTGTTGTATTAAGGCAGTCATCATAGATGAACTTCTAATGGATAAGGAACTGGAAGCTGTTAATTCTAGTTAAAAGCAATGCTATGACGTTTTTCAACAGAGTGGCTAACAGCAGTCTGTGACAAAAGTGTTCTTTGTAAACATTTTAGCTGGTGTAATTGAAAGGGATGTGACTCATTTTTGTGGACTATTGCTTCTTGTCACTAATTTTCCCACAGAAAAATACATTTTAAAATTACAGTGTGTAAAAAGAAATGCCTGTAGTCTTCTAATTCCTTTTAAAAATTGTAAATAAACAGTGGCCTTAACTGTATTGAAGATGGATAGAATGTTCTTTAATGCATGTTGAAAATAGAGCATTTTAACTATTTGCCTAGATGTATTTCAGGACTGCTAGTGTTATAGTGTTGAGTAACTTCTTCAGGCATTTCAACTTTGAGCACAGCTAGAAACTTCAGCATGCGTGTGTTTGCTGACAGGATATTTATAAGTATATCTTGAAGTAAAAAGGATTCTAAAAATAAAAATGATAGCCTTGTTAGCTTGAGAGTTTTTACAAGATGGCTAACTTGGGAAAATGAAACTCTTGCTTCACGTCCTAAAGATTTGTATTATCTCCTTTGCTACAGGTTTACATTGTAAGTTAGAGGTACTTCAGTGGTGGAGTAATTGCGAGGTCGTCTAGTATTTTTCACATAATTGAAAGCTTGTGCTTTGTTAATATGCTTTGAATAGCCATTTGTTTGTCTTTTCCCTCTTATTTTTTTACTTTTTTTAATGGTAGTAGGGTTTGCTACTAACATGCAGAGCTCATGCTTGGTTTGCTTTCTTGTCTTTTTTCAGTCTCCTTAGAAATATAAAGGATGATCTCTGCTCATGTTTTTAAATGAAAGTATTTTCCTGAAGATACCTTCTGTATTATAAAACCTTGTCCTCCTTTCCCTTCCCTCCTCTTTATGGGTACATGCTTTGGATTGGGTTCTTCCCCATTCTGTAGTATTCATATAGTTCTTGCAGTACTGCATTTTTCTGCCTGAGAGTATGAAGAGACTGCTTCACTTAGTTCAGTTTATTTTCTTCCCCCTTTGAAAGCATGCATGCTTCTGTTTTAATGATGTTTCTGCATTCCTTGGAGGTTTGAATTTTTGTTTCAAAATACACCTTAATTTTCATAAGTTGTATTCCGCCACTTGTATATCAGAGTCTTGGGATCTTTTGGTCAGACTTTGCAGAGATTCATGTTTTCAAAAAGAAATGTATTTGTGTGGTGTATTTCATCTTCTTGCCTATTCACAGAAGTAGGTGTGAATTTCTGTTTTCATTTTTAGAAAGCTTTTTCCCTGCCTCGTTTCAAAGGCTTTGTATCTCATCTCAGAGAGACTCAGGAAGGTATAAAAAATTCCGTGCATTCACACCCAGTTCCTACACTGTCTAAAGCTGTTATCAGATCACCTTTCAGGTCTGTGAAGTGAGAGTAAACCATCTTCCTCTTGGCTATTCTGAGACCATCTTCTTAACTGAGCGCAGTCTGAGTGTAAAGCTAAGTAAATCTCCATGGAACTTTTGAACAGGTGCTTGGAATTTGGTCTTTATTTCTTTTTACTGGAGAGGTTACTCATGTTGTGACTGGTTAATACTCGTAAGATTCCTTCTGAGACCTAAAATGAAAGAGTTATGCCACCAAAGAGGCATCTACAATTTTGTTGGTGTAGAGTTCTTATTTATCCAGTGTTCTGTGGTATTCTTGTAAATATTGTGTAGGGATGAACAGGTGGCATTCCCTTTGTCTTGAGTTCCTCTGAATAAGTTGTCTCTTGGTGCATCCTTGATGTTGTGCCAGGGAAGGTGCTATGCCAAAGCATCAAGCACATCTAGATTTTTAGAAATAAAGTGAACTAGTGCCAATCTGTATTCTGTATTTTTTCCCTACCCTCTTTTGATTAGTATGTTTATCAGATTTTAGAGAGCTTTGTGTCTTGACTGAAGGAGGATTCTGAACAGTGTTACTAGGACTTCTGATGGGTCCTTCTCACTCCCTTTATTTGACCATGACATCTGCTCTTAAGCTAACAACTGTCTGCTTTGTGGCACTGACAAATCTGTAGAACACAAAATTCTTCTTCTTTGCTAATGCTTTTTAATGCACTGAGTGAATGTTTTTGGAACAGAACATTATAAATTTGTCTCCAGGCTTGCAGGTCCATGCACTCTGATTACCCATGGGCGAGGAACTTGGACAGCACGAGGAGTGAGCATTGTTCATTCATTCCTGTTTTTACTTTGTCCTCCAAGTACCTTTCACTGTTTGCATTGAAGTTCCTTCCATCACTTCTCCACCTCTTTTGTTCTAAACTTCACTGACCTAATTTTCTTCATATTCATAGAGCCTGGGGAGCAATGAAGTCTGTTAAGCCAGCAGCTGCTCTGCAGTCTTCCACCTTTCAAGGCCATCACCTTGGTAGCCTTTTTTTAATCATATTCCCCCCCACCCTACCCTCTTCTAGGGAAAGTTACTCCCTTTGCATTAAACTGCAAATATTTCATTATCCTAAAATCTTTTCAGATTTACTTATTTTCTGTGAGGCATAGCTGTCAAAGTGAACAACACAATGAATACACATAGTGGATTTGAAGATCTGTTTTGTGGGATAAATGGATTAAAATCTTATGCTACTTCTTGGATGCAGAAGGAAAAAGCAGAAAATAAAGATGGATAATATAAAATGAACACAGAGAGATTACAGTCTTTCATGGTTATGCATTAATCATGTATTATGTATTCATGATTCTTCAGGGGGATAGCCTTTTTGGTGACTCAAACACTAAGAACGCTTTAAATATCTCTGTAAATTAGAATCAACATCTTGCAAAACTTTGAATTTACTCATACTTGCTCTTTTGGAAGCTAACTTGCTTACTAACATCCCATTTATTTTTCATTTCTGTGTGCTCTCTCTTTCTTTTGTTTCCTTGTATTCATTACAAATCAGTACATACAAAAAATGAACCAGTTCACTTAACATTCAAGAAAGAACTTCGAGCTGTTTCCAGTAGGTATATTTCCCGTTTCAGCTTTTATTACATGTATTGTAAAAGTATGACTATCTAATTTTGTCGACATGTTCATGTGTGGTCTAGACAACCATTTTTCTTTGTTGCATCAGGTTGTTGTGCTGTTGTAATAAAAACAGATATGAAACTCTATGCAGCATCTCTGTGAAATTGTAAAATTGAATGTTTGGCTGTTCTGGGCTGTTTTCTTTCTTTGTCCTCTACTAGTTGTGTGCTTACATCTAGAAAGGGGATTATACTGAGCTGGCAGTGAGACTCCTGGACTGTGCTGCTTCAGAATTGTGTGTTTTTAAAGTCATGGGGATGCTCTGATGAAATGGGGGGGGGGTAAAAATGAGTATTTTTAATTTTAGCATGCAAAACTTGTTTGAGAACCTTGAGTCTGCAAAAAGCTACAGAAGATGCTAATAAAAGAGGAGTTAGGTTTTTAATTAGTTTATTAAATGTTGTTCCATACTTTATATGAAATACGTCTTGGTTTTTATTCAAGGAACTTCCAGACCTCAGCAATGACTGTCCTTATGCTAATAATCAAATAGAAATTTTACAAAGTGAATTGTTACTGATGCCAATTCTTTATTGCTGCATGCAGAGCTGCAATCATAGGCTTAGAATGTTAAGGAGGGTTACAGTTCTGTTTTGCTGCTGTGTTACACTTAAGGGTTTCAAAGATAGACTCTGATCTGTGCAGTGATTATTAGATGTTACTTAAATGTTAAATTTTCACTTGTGTTGTAAGGCTTTTGCTTGCATATAGATTATAATCTTAAATTGTTGGGTGTTTGGATTTTATCTTAGTGGATTATTACACTTGAGATATGTCACACCCTATAGAGGGTGTATGGCACACATTATAATAATTTGAGATGCCCTATTCAAATTGTTGGTTTTCTTGTGGAAGACTAAACTACTTGAATAAGAAAGTGCACTGCATTAAGGCTGATGTTGTCGGGTCAGTTACACAAAGATTTTGTTCTAGTCTGTTATGGATGTGACCTTATAGTGTTTTGTTCTTATTTTTAGGATTCTCCTTTTACAAATGCAGGATTGGGGTCTAACCTAAACCTTCTGGGTGAGATAGAATGTGATGCCAGTATAATGGATGGAAAGTCATTAAATTTTGGAGCAGTTGGAGCACTGAGTGGTATGTTAAATACATATTATAAAGCTAACTACTGATTTAGGTGCAGAGATCAATTTTGTTCTTTTTTGTTACTTTTTTGGAGGGGGGGGGGGCATTGTAAATAATGCCTTGCTTAAATAAATTCTGCCCCCGTAAAAAGGAGAGGCATTTGTTCTCTGAAACACTGGTTTGTGTTCATTTGCTTTTTGTAACATATTGTCTGTATTTACTGATAATCCTTTAATGCAAGAGCAATTGTATGATACTATAGAGTATTCACAGTGGGAGTGAGTTTGCTCAGATGAATTTGTAGAAAGATGACTTTATAATAAAATGCAATTATTGAAATGATTACCAGCATTTAGTTTAGGCTTTATATTTGTTTTTGTTCTCTGTCTCCTCGAAGAACTGACTGGTATATAGTTCAACCATAATATCGATTGATATTTTGGTCTCAGTTAAATTAATCAAATTATGATCTTAAGGGACCAAAGTTTCCTTTACAGTGTCAGAAGGCTATGCAGGGTGCTAGCCCCCAAACTGAAGCCTCTTATGTATTCTTGAGAATGGGCACAGCTGCTCATCTGTCAGACTGTTTGCTTGGGACATAAAATTTCTGTATACTGTAGATTTTTTTCATTGTAATTTCTCTCACATGATTGTTACGTTTGGATTTATTTTGTGTGTTGCTCTTTTAAGGTTCGATACATTTGCATATGGGTTTTTTTTAATCTGAGAGCTAGTGTGCTTCTCTCTTTTTTTGTCTAGTTTTAGCTTTCACTACAAAACAAATATAGGTATACAGTCCCAAATAGGGATTGCTGAGGTTTTGTCATCAGCACATTGAACAGCCTTAACTGTTACTATTGAATAGTGTTTTTGACAACATTCCAAGCTTTGTTCTTTATCCTAGAGTAGTTCTAAGCCATGGTAATAACTTAGTCATGTAGATATAAATCTAAAATAAATAGTAAAATTAAGTGTTTCAAGGCTTGTTTGTTACAAAATGTATCCTTCCAACCATGGCGAAGGAGAAAATGAGGGAGCAAGAGAAAGCTGAGCCTGAATCCCATAATCCCTGTTCTGGCTAGATAGATCCAAATGAAAGCTCTTTCCATCTTGAAAAATTAATGCTCATAAAAAATCTTTGGCCTGTAGAATACCATAGATTTAATTTGAGATTTCTGTGGTAGAAGGTCACTCCTAATATTTCAATATGATTCTTTAAAAAAAAAAAAAGGTGCACATGGGAGAGTTCATTAGGAGGCTTTGTCACTAGTGATAGGGCATGTGAAGGAGAAACTGATAAAGTTGTTATTAAATTGAAACATAACATAAGGTGTCCCTTAATGACTTGGCAAAGCCTTGGAAATTAAAGGAAGCTGACTTCCGTTGCCAAGATGAACACTACAATGCTATGTTGGAAAAATATTTTAATGTTTTGTTCCCATTTTTTGCTAATTTTTCTTTTCAGGAATCAAGAATCCAGTTTCAGTTGCAAATAGATTGTTGTGTGAAGGGCAGAAGGGAAAACTCTCTGCTGGCAGAATTCCACCTTGGTAATTGCTCTGTTCTGCTTGACTTTACTTTGGTCTTTTCGTCTCTACTGCATGCAATATTTGAAGGTTGTATCTTATCCCAAGAAGCTGGTGCTGTTTTACATACCAGTGATAGTGTGTCTTTCAAAAGAAGATAAGCTTTGTTCTCTAATCTTGAAACATCTTGTGCACTTGATGAAGCTGTGCGTAGAACGAAGTATTGTGAATAGATGGCAACATCATTTTGTGATAATTTCTGTCTGTGTGATTATTTCCAGTTATGTCATACTGAATTCTTGCGTTTGTTACTATAGCATTTTGAAAAAATCCCTAAATACATCAAGATTAAAATTAAATTCTACTGCTTTTGCCTCCTTCTATCTTTAAAAAAAAGCAGCATAGTTTTTAACAAGTATATAAAATAATCCTACTTTACTGCCTGTCTTTGTGGCTTTATTTTGTAGCTATAGTGTGGAAGTGTGCAGTTTTTAGTAACTTGCTCTTATTTTAGCCAAAAAAGATAGATTTAATAGTATTTACAACAAAAAATGCAGACATTCACTCCTTTATTGAGACGGGTGCAATACATAAATGGAAGAGGTAACTATTGAATGCATAACAACTTAATCCAAGAAATGGATCCAAGAAATGGATCCAAGAAATGGATCCAAATCCAAGAATCCAAGAAATGTGTCAGAATTGCTTGCTCTTAAACCCATCTTATTTTCATTAGGAGCTTAAATTGACAAGTAGAGAACTTGAATGATTCATTCTTATTAACTGACTGCTCTCCTCAGTTATTGTACCTTTTGCAGAAATTTGCTGACATTTGCTAACTAATGGACTACAGTATTTGCAGGTGTGTTAAAGCAGCATTTATGTAGTTTAAAATATGTATATTTAGATTAAATCAATTTTACTTTCCTTACTATGTTATTCTTGTTCTGTAATATTGTCCAAATAGTCTGTAGCTGGATGGTATAGTATTCCAATTAAAACAGTGAGGAAAAGCACTATTTCAGTGTTCTGTCATGCTGCAAAGGAAGTTCATCAATCAAAAAAAGCCACCCTGAAACCAAACCATCAACAAGCAGATTTTGCGTTTAAAACTCTAATGAAAAGAGTAACTGTAGTTAGTGAGTTAACTTCATTTTTTTTCAGAGGAGAAGTTTACTAAGGAATAGAAGCTTGTATTTCAGTTGCTGTTAGTAGCTCATTTCTTCAGATATAAAAAAAAAAAGCGTGTTTTAGCTGAGTTATATTAAAAGAGAGTGTCAAATGAGGTGGAGTTGTTTGGTGTTCCAGAACTAGTACTGAAGTCAGCTACAGGAGCTACCACTTTTGATTTAGTTTTGTCTGTATCATCATAGTGTTTTGTTGAATTGTTGTAAGGAAGAGCACTTGGGCATTTTAGTAGGTTTACTGTAACTTGCATGACCTAGTTTATGTTGCCATTATTTTAAAAGTAACTAGATCGAAAAGAGACTGTATCCTCTTGTCCTCAAAGGACAAGACTAAATCTTCAAAAACACTGTGCAAGGTCTTTGCTCACAGATTCTTTTAAAGACAAGGGAGCTCAAACTCTCAAGGTGAGAGGTGAACTGTCTTCGGAGCCAACACATACAGCTTGTGGTGGACTTGAGTTACCTAATACATATTTTCATTTCCTTTTCCCATTCTGGATTTTGAACGTATATTTTCTTAGAGCAAATTAGTTATCCTGGGAACAATCTATACTAGTGGGATATGATGAGTTATGCTTTAGACTTGCTTTGGTAGATGCTTCTGTACACACGGGGTATCCCAAGTTCAGAGTGATAGAGCTCATGTTCATTGTAGGTGATGACTGTTGACAATTTCATGCCTTGTCTTTCTGGCAGGGTTTGGCATGACACGTTGTTTTGGGACTGAAATATATTCCTGCACAAGGTGGGAAAATGTATATATATATAGTCAAATAACAAGAGAGCAGCTGTATTTTGGCATTCCTACCAAGTGCTGGGATTTTAATCACTGATTTATATTTGTAAAGATATGCAAATATCATTTTGTTTCTCAGGGACAAATAGTGTATTGTGGAATCTTTCAGATATTGCTTAACCTAAGAACCTGCATTGTTTAAAAAACCTAGTGCCAGACACAGTTTCTGTAGCATTATCTAAGCTAGCTTAATGTTTTCTGGACAGAATGTTTGGTGCATGACCACACAAGAAATATTTAACAACTGTGAGATTCGTAAAAGTGGCATTATGGAGATTCTTGTCTGTGAAAGAACACATGGAGGCAACTAGGTTGGCCTGTTTACCTCTGTTTGACACTGGTTTTTGTAGTGATGGTTCAAAACGAATTAAAAGTGGTACATTTCTAATTTTCAGTAAAAGAAATTCTAATGAGTGTGAATTAGTTTCTTCTGAGATGGTAAGCTTATTGTGAAGGAGTGATCAAGTGTCCTAACAGATGTATCCAGTTTGCTGTAAATGGGTCTGTAGAGTTTGTCATTCTGGATCAATATCTTGTCATCTTGTTTAAAACAAAAAATCCCACTATCCAAATTAAAATTTAAAAAGTTTAAAGTAGAAAATTCCTGAATGCGTGAGTGCATTTGTTGGAACTTCTAAGGCCCTTACATCTTTCTGTCATATTTTATTCAGCTCGGAGTTATAAGGATTTTCTCTGCCTATGTATACAGGAACAGAAAATACTGAACTTGTAAATGTTGCATATATTATAAGATATTCCTGTTCATTGTATAACTTTACAAAATAAAGCACTATTATAATTGCACAATTACGCATTGGATGGATCTTTGGAAGTGGTCTTTGGTCACAGAATAATGGATTAGATGTTTTGTAGTAATAAGTTTGAAGATTTTCTATTTCTTATGCTGAAACCTTCACCTTCCTAAAGGAAAAGGCTTATTTATATCTGTTTACTATTAAGTGTAGGTACATAAGAATTGTAGGATGATACAAATACACCTAAGTGTCTCCTTTCTTAGAACTCCTTACTACTGCTGATGTCTAAGTTCATGTCTGTATACCTTTTTCAGTATTAATAGTAACCTGTATGGGAAAGAATCCCTTCTTATGGCTTTCTTTTTTCCCCCTTTGGATGTACAGGGATTTGTAGTTGCTTCACAGTTTTACAGTTCAGTAGGCAGGAGATGTACAGTGTGTAACTTGTAGGGCAGTGCATAATCAATAAAGTGCCTAGGGTGAAGACTTACACCACCTTTTATCTCTGTTTTGTCTTTCTTCAGAGCAGTTTCTTCCTTGTAACAATGATTTCAGAGTGACTACTGTTTTTTGTAATTGTTACAAAGTGAGCTTGTTACGTTCAGGATTGCCTTGACCATCTTTAATGAACCTAACCTCCTTCTGCCACTTCTGTTAGATTGGTGTAGCCTGTCTCCCTACAGCCCATATTAAATGGTCCTGATTGGAGCAAATAGCAGCAGAAAAACCATGTTCTTGGAGAAAATTGCCTAAAAAAGACCATTTTTAGAGACCTTTACTTGCATTTTCCATTAGCATGGTCTAGTTTGTCTGGAACTGGAAAGAGTATCCAAGCATCGATTTCTTCCTGGGTGGATGTTTTCATGTTCTGTGTGTTCTGAGCCTGTAACAACTACAGAGTACTCTTTGTTTGATATATTTGCAGGAAAGATCTTCTTATCTTGTTCGTGCAGAACCAGCTTTTAGAGTCTGTGTGTTCTGAGCCTGTAACAACTACAGAGTACTCTTTGTTTGATATATTTGCAGGAAAGATCTTATCTTGTTTGTGCAGAACCAACTTTTAGAGTAGCAGAGCACAAACTCATTCATCCTTTGGTTTTGGGGTTTTTTCCCCCCTTCGGAAAATTTTGTTTTGAATTAGCCTAAAGGCTTTTGAGACTTTTGCTGCTTTGTATGGCCCACTGACTTTATTCCTTATTTTTCCTCTCCCCCAATAAATCACACTTGGTCATAGATGTTTAGAGGTAGTTCTGGTTTTATGTAGGCTTAAAGTATTGCCCTGTTCATTCTTGCCTGCTGCAACTTTTCTACATGGCTGCGTGGATGATCTCATGGCAACTAAAGCAGTTCCCTAGTGCCAGACTGCTGGTTGCCACCCTCTTGCCACCCTATCATCTGTGGCTGGTACAATTGTGTGTGTGGCTGTGTGCTGAACTGGATCACAGAACTTGCTTTTTGGGATGGTGTAAGGACTGTTTAATCTTGGTTAGATTATACATATTTGACTACCTACAGAACTGTGTTCATGCTGGATGTCCTGTAAGAGTCTCTTACCAATGAATTCTATATCAGTTTGTAGCAGATAGAGTATAGGTAGTACAGACAACAAAGTACTGAGATCCTGGTGGTTTTGGTGGGTTTTTTGGGGGGTTGGGTGGTGTGGTTTATTTTAGTTTAGTTTAGTTTGTTTGGGTTTTTTGGTAAATTGTTTATTTTAACTTTTCTGTGATTATGCTGGCCCTTTTGTGATGGGTTAACCTTGGCTGTACACCAGGTGCCCACCAAGCTGCCCTTATCACTCCCCTCTGCAGCAGGACAAGGTAGGGAGAAAATGAGGTGGAAAAAATCTCATGGGTCAAGATAAAGGCGGTTAAATAAACATATGAGGGCTGCTATGGGGAAAATTAACTCCATCTCAGCCAGACCCAATACAACTTTCAAAACATCCAAACTGAAAAGTTTAAAGAAAGTGGATGATCTCTGTGATGTTATGGG